AAGCCCATCTCCTTCAATAGTCTCCATAAGTTTGTTTTGGGTCCCTTCAATAAAGAATAGATTAACAAAGATGAAAATCGAACACAATATTTACCACATTAATATCTGCCTTTCTTAGTTCAGATAGCAAATTATTCACTGTCACCTGAACCTTCATATCAAGTAACTGATAGATCTTCCGTCGTATTGCAATATGGTCGAAACTATCAACAACCCTCTGTAAAAAAATCATTGCATTGTATTTCAAATTTTAGTGTTACCTTCACACGAGAACATCTGTATCGCTTTGCAGGTGACTCAAAGTCTTCAGTGGACAAGCACTCATATTGCTTGAGTATGCGCCACACTGTACATTTACCAAATCCTTTAATTTAAAGCAAAATCAATGCCATAATATAATTCTTGTACCAGTGATATCTATTGTTTTTGAAGAGGGCTTTTCATTTGTCCACCTCTTTTCCCCCTGCTTTTACTTTCCTCTCCAACAAAGTAATTGTAGATCCTGACGACGAGCCTCTTCTCTCCAGACTGGATCCTCTTCCCCTTCCGAGGCATAGTCAACCTACAAAAATAATTAGAACAGCACAAGCTTTAAGTTTAATTAGCAATAACAATTATTATAAACAACTTATCCTTTTCCAAAATGATAGCTGTAATATATAATCCAGTACAAGTACTACTACAGCTAGAAATTGCAATAGAAACAAATATGAAAGGCATTTTTTAATTGTAATGTTACCTGAAGAACTTCAAAGGTATTTGTGTTACTGAAGTCCAACAAAAAGATGCAGCAGTCAAGTAAAGGATTAATGAATAGTTTTCAGTAGATGAAGAAGTCCAAGGGCACTGAAGAAGGTAGTAATTCGTTTGTTTTTGTAAGTGAACCCAAGTGAAAACAGTTTAAAGAAGCTTCCACGTGGATAAGCGCATAAAACGTGGGTGGGCGTTAACTGCCATGCCCTAATTAATGATGTTGCGTAATTTGATAGCGCATGACGTTTAAGCACGTGTTTTTCCTGTTTCTTCTCAACTGAAACCGACTATACCACTGACTTATGGTCAAGCATTAATCTTAAGTCATTCATTAGCTATACCATTCAGTGTGTGACAGACAATTTGGAACTAGAATGTCTGTCACTTTGTACTAGCTACCTTCCCCAAGATCACACTGGTGAGATCATTTCTGACATCTTAGAAGCAACTTTAGAAGAATGGAGCTTGAAATCATCGTAACAAGTTTGTATTACCACTGATAATGCTGCGAACATTAAACTTGCTGCAGAGAATTTGGGATAGACTGAATTGTCTTGCTTTGGACACAACCTTCACCTTGCCATTACCAAAGCTATAGCTAAAGATAACAGGTGTTATAGGGATTTGGGGATAGAATACAGAGGAAGAACCTCTCACAAATGAGCTATGTCAAGCCATAATTTGAATCTACTGACACAGAATATTGATCCAAATGTAGTTGATCTTTTAGAAGTTTGTTCATTCTTGGACCCTCATTTCAAGACAAAGTACATAAAAAATGAAGATAAAGTGAAAGAGACAGTTTATAGAGATAGGATCACAGTGTATGACTCTACCTGTGCATCCACTAGTAGTCAGTCAACTTCACACATTGTTTCTCCTGGTAAAAGAAAGAGAACACTCTGAAGTTTATT